ATTAAGAAATAATGTCTGTAGCCAAAATTTTTGAAATATTTTCATTTTCAGTATTTTACTAATAGATGGACTTAGTTTTTTGCAGTTAACATTTATAAACATTCTGAAATAATAAAAAAAAAAAATAGACATTAATAAATTTATTCAACCTTCATGGAATGTTATGAAACTTGCATGGACAGAAGCTGTTTCCAGATCAAAATCATGATAAAATATCCGTAGATATTCTACTGGTAAATGCCAGGACCTCGATTTTGGCAGTCAATATTACACTTATACACTGACAGCAGGCTAGGGTTCCACGGAATCCTTTACGATTTTTATTCTACACTTGGTCCAGCTGTAAGCCTGAATTTTCATGTTCATTGCTGAAGCAGGAATAAAACTGCTCCGTAAAATACATTGTAACTTACTAGATTGTTGTTTCCATGTATTTAGCTGATAATCTTTTATTTAATATTATTTGAAGGATTGTGTTAATGCATATATAAGATACACAGTATACATTAGTGTACATAATCATGGTTGAAATATTTCCTCTAGTAAACAATGTATTAACTTTGGTTGTCTGATTAAATTTCATATTTTTCTGTCTCGTATTTTTTTCTTCATAATAACGTACTATATATATAGCTAAATAAAAACGATGGAGTATAAGCCAATGAGACAGCAACCAAATAGATATAGGAAGATGTGGTATGAGTGCCAATGAGACAACTCTCCATCCAAGTAACAATATATAAAAGAAAACCATTATAGGTCAAGGTACGGCCTTCAACACGGAGCATTGTCTCACACCGAACAGCAAGCTATAAAGGGCCCCAAAAAATTACTAGTGTTAAACCATTCAAACGGGAAAATCAAAGTTCATAAATAACCGAAGAAGTGTGTATATATATATAAGTAATTACAGAAACATGTTAAATATACTGCACATAAAAGGAGATGAGTTAACTTGTTTTCCAGTGGTTTTCGTTCGTTGATATCTGCTGTAATAATGCTTTTGTTTATTGTTTTTGTTTAATCACGCCATTGGTTTTCTCTTGTACTGTTTCACATTTTGTCACCCGGGTTCCCTGTGCCTTTCATAGCTTACTACTAGATATGGGTTATTGAAGGCCGTACTGTGATCTGTAATTATCCTCGTTCGTTCATGGATAGTTGCCTCACTGGCAATCATACCACATCTCCTTATTTCCATATTGATGGCATTTTGCCTAAAATCATTATTTCAAAATCACAGAAACTTGGCTTTAAAATGATTGATATCAGTGACAGTATATGTTTAAACTGTTGGGATTTTCAAATCTTATAAATATTTACTAAGAGCTTAAGGTTAAAATCGGTAAAATTTAAGTGGCTATGTTTAAACATGTTTTAATACGTAAGAAATAACAAATGTATGCAAGAGCACATAAGTATTCCTTGGCGAGATCGTACAAAACTAAGTGGTTAATTACCGGTATCTAAAGACTTTCATGTTTAATATTTGCAAATAAAAAATCTATTGAAAATCATCCAAAATATATGTCTTTTACCAGATTTTACAAAATGAAGCTTAAAGGTGTTGTTATGTGACTTCATAACTATATTTTTGTGATACCATCTAATATACACAAGTTGAAATATTCAAGTTAAACTGCAAATTTCAGTGATGAGTTAAAGGAGTATTAGCTACGAGGTATAAACAAAATAAAATATGACTTTTTTTTGTTCAATCATTAATGAAAGTGAAATAGTGAAATAACAATTCGCTTTTGCAGCCAGTTTGGTTCAATTTTGTCAAAATAAGATAAGAAACGTCGCTGATGAATTATTTACTTGCAAGTGAATAATTCGACCGCACTGAATCCGTATTCATGTGACCTTCAATTTAACCCCTTGGCTAGAGAAGTGTTGCGCATAAACAAGGCGTGTTCAACTATTAAAAGGAAAAGAATGTCAACATTGAAAGTAAAACATGGCTAAACTATTTGGTTGACTGATTCGATTCACAAAAACTCAATCTTATACAAGTTAAAACGATGATTAACAGATTTTTTTAACCTTTAATATGAAATCAAACAGACCTAGAAAAATCCAATTGCACGTGTTCGCTATCTATTTATATCGATATTTATGTTTATATCGGGTTATATGACCGTCGGCAGTTTTCGGAGGTCACATCGATTGTTAATTAGATGGCGTCTTGACTAAAATATACACGAAATGCTGATACATATTATCGAGTATATGCATCGTAAATTGTTTATTTTAGACTTTTTATACATTGGGTATACGTTTTAGTGTGTCATAAATCAAATATGAGAATTTGAGTCAAATCAGTGAACATGAATTTGAAAGTTAATGCCCTTTAAATAAGTGATCGAGCGATCATTTTTCTTTTATTATTTTGATTGTTTACATTAATGTGCTTAGGAAACTATGTACATGAACATTGTAAGATTAAAGTATCTTATAAGATTTTTAGTTAATAAAATAGTCAAATATTTGAATTGTATGATTAATATGAATAGCACTCAAAAATAAGAAAAGCTACAATTTTAATTTCATTCTTATCAATATAGTAAGAAGCTTATGTCTAGTTGACAAGATAATTAGAGTCCAGTTTAAAATATATTGCTGTGATTTACATGAGCAATTGTATCTTAAAATACACCATGGTAAAAGAAAACAAGCAATGGATAAAATGGATGTTACTACTTGTAATCTGGTCATGATATCAAGCTAGTTTGTTGAAGTATAGTGGTATTTGCTCTGTTCAAAATGAAACAATACTTCTACAAGGATAACTATATTATCAAAATCCAATTTTATTTGTATTCAAACCCATGGTCAAGGCGGTCAAGGCAGTGATCAAATATTATGAATCACTTTTCATTATGAAACGTGTTGGTAAACGTGTGTTTAAACACTTACTTTTATTCAAATGTTTTTTCTTAAATTTTACATATTGTCAAGGTTAAATCCTTACAACAAAGTTGTTTATTAAGCTTTATATGGGGTCAGTATTAAGAATGGTAAATAAGGATATGCCACGCTAGCTTAACTTGTTCAGTACTAAATTGTTCTTTAATTTCCTGATCTTGATATGAAAAGACATAAATATTTTGTTAACCTCTTTCAGATCTTTTCCTGTACATTTATTATGTATAATAATGAAAAGCTAAAATTAGAGAGAGTGAACTGATCACGATATCCCTTCTCATACAAGGTTAAAATTACTATTTTAGCTATTTCCACGTAGAACCAATATGGGATATAAAATTTTTTCTACGTCTTTTGAACAAAATAAATGGGGAAAAAACTCGTCAAAGATACCAGGTTTATAATTTTGTATGGCAGATGAGTGTTTGGTCTATAAAAGACTCACCAGCGACGCTCGAAGTGAAAAGTTAAAAGGACAAACCAAGTTCGAAGTTGGAGAGTACTAGTATAAACTACACTCTTTTTTTTTTTTTATTAAAAAGAAGTCTGATATCAATTTCCGTGCTCATAACACGTGTTTCTGATATAGTTCCTTCATCAGGGGGAAAACGTTGATAAAACATGTTGTACATAATTGAATTAAATTTCTAGTTAAGTTGGAAAAGACTTGATATTAAAAACTGAAGATATGATCAAAAGGGGCAGATCCAGGATTGTTTTAGAATGAAGGGGAAGGGTAAACAATACTAAATCAGAAGCACTGACAACTGTATTTATTCTTGAATTTAACTTTTGGACTTCGAAGTTTTATTTACACCAATTACATGTATACACTTAAATGGGACATACAGATCATGGATAATCTTGCAGCTATTAGTTATTGCATGTATTAGGCTAAAACTGTTGACAAGTATTAACACTATAACAGGCCAAAGACAATTTTATCAAATAGAAAATTCCATTTGATGAGATTATGTGGATGTAGAAATCATAGCTATCAATTGGGACAAACTTACCCTTAGATAGACAGTGCTCATTTCAAGACCTCCAAAAATATTTTATCACTCCAGAAATATTTAATTTAAAAGTAGAAAGATGTGGTATGATTGTCAATGAGGCAACTATCCACCAACGACCAAGGATGTCAACAACGACAGGTCACCATACGGCCGTCAACAATGGGGAAAATCATACCATGACAAAAATACGCTATAAACATTATATCAAACATCTCAACTTTGTTCGCTGCTTAGACAGATGGTACAAACTCGCTTCATGTTAAAAATTAATTTACTTTCAGTCTTGATTTGATTTTTGCCTACGGTATTGTATGAAGTCAATAATGTTTTATACATGAATTATCAACAAGATTCATGCATTTTCTAAAAGAAAGAATTTGATAATTGTTTCAACCTTTCTAGATGCTATATTTTAGTACAAGTCAAGTTATACGACTGTAGGCCTTGTATCTAAGAACTGGATTTTGACTTTAAAATTGAAAGTCAACCCAGAATGTGGGCCATCAAACAGTCATTTTTAGACGGATGTTTCTCCAAGATGATCATGCACTATATATTATATAACTGTAGGGAATCGCGTGTTTTGAATGTGATGTGTCATAGCAGTATCATCTTACATAGATGGAAAATCAAGGTTAATAAAGAGATATAACGGCGACGTTTTTGGGTAAACGGATCCATTTTCATTTGGTTACAAGTACGCATGTAACTAAGTTTCATTTGTGTTTTTTTATTTCTTAGTGTATAGTTCTTATCTAACTACAAATTCATTTAAAACAAAATGGTGAAGCGCCAGGAACCAGACGGATGGTGAAGCGCCAGGAACCAGACGGATGGTGAAGCGATAGGAACCAGACGGATGGTTCACTCGGGAGAATGAAAATAACACTTTGTAAAAAACAGCTTTTTTCGATTCGGGAACTTAAGAGAATTATCTTAGTTCTTGAAATTTACCAATATAAATAACAGGGGAGATTCTTGCTCCAGGAATGTTGGTCAGAATATTTGAAGAAATTACAGTATACAGAACAAAACAGTTTATTTGGAATGATGGTTACTATCAAAGTACTAATGGGTTATGACTTTGCATTGACCTCGTTTTTCATCTCTGTAAATTACAAAAATCTGTCTATATTTATAGATATTGTTTTCAAATAAATTATTATTTACTTAAAAGAATGTATTGCCATGCGGAAACATTTCCTTGTGAATATGTTTAAGAATATAACTGACGTTGCATAGTTAGTTACAAAATAAAGGCAAAGTTTATTGAGATAACATTAGTCACATTCTAAAAGGGATAAATTGTTTATACTTTATCTTATTCTTAAAACTATCTTGCGTTTTCTATAGATGGAACACAGGTATAACATCTGTAACCTTGGATTTTGATATTAAATTAAATACTTTGACTTCACGTGCCTTCAAAGATCCATGCGTAATGAAGAGTTTCATATCAGGTGAGATTGAAATGCCTTGTGGATGAAAGATTCCGTCATGTTTGGTGATAATTTGGCGAACAAATTCTCCATCTTTTGAGAAAAACGAAATTCTATCATTGTAATGATCTGCTACAAATATATTTCCAAACTTGTCGCAGCATATACCATAAGGGACCTTTAGTTGTCCATCATTCGAACCATAACACCCAAATGTTTTTTTGAAATTTCCATTTGAAGAAAATATATAAATTTGATGATTTCCTGAATCGGACACAATGATATCGCCTAATGGAGAAACCGTCACATATCGGGGTGTTTTAAATTGAAGACCATGATTATCAGGCAGACAAATATCGTCCAACCATTTGCCACTCCAGTCGTGAATGGAAACTTTCATTGACTGGATGTCTGTAATAATGATTCTATGGTCCTTTGTTGTAGCGATACCACATGGATCCTGGAATAATGAATCACCGAAAGACGACTCTTCATAATCACCAGTCTGTGACATTTTAAGTACTAACCTTTTCCTTCTAGAGGTCACAAGGACGATATCTTCATGTACTGTTACCCCCCAAGGTTCGATTGTATCTTCGTTTTGTATTGTCAAAGTATTTCTTCCTGATTTTGAAAATATGCTAAGTCGACAATTGAGTAGATCGGCTACTACACACCTCCCTTGACTCATGTAGCTTATATCAGACCCATCTTTCAAATTCCCGTCCCTGGTTCCGTGACACCCGAAAGTCTTGTACAGAAGAGCATGACCATTAACCTCTTTTTCAAATGAAATATTGACATATCCACATTCACTGTCCTCGTCCTCACTAGAACTGGTACTGAAGTCATCTGATAACATCACTTTGTCAGATTCTGGTTCAGAAATATGTTCTTCGATTTTAGTTATATCGGAGGAAGACAAACATCTCTTACTTTTCGACTTTTGTTTAAGTCTGAATGGGAGCAGATTAAACGATAACGATCTTTTTTCCTTAAACCTCGGATTGGAAGAAAAGATACCTGCAATAAGAAATAATACACGTATACAGAAATGAAAGAAATTAATAAACATTAATTAACGAATTAACAAATTAAAGCTCGCAATCAAAATATCTGATACTCATACATGATAATAACCTAAACGGTACCAATTTTAATTTACCAGATGCGCATTTCGACGATTTATGTCTCTTCAGTGATGCTCGAGGCAAAATATTTGAATATCCAAAATCTAAAACAAATATTGAAGAGCGGATCAAAACAAAAAAAGGACCTAAAGTATAGCCAAACCGGACAAGGAATCAGAGCTTAGTATGAGGGAGAAATAGTCCTGAATTTAAAGTGATTTTCAAATATTTTATAACAACAAATTTCAACCTAACAATATCCGTATTTTCATCTGGGCTGGTGATACCCTCGGGGACTAACAGTCCACCAACAGAGGTATTGACCCAGTGGTAGTAATAACACTAACGGTACCAATTTTAATGCACCAGATGCGCATTTAGAAAATTAATGTCTCTTCAGTGATGCTCGAGGCCAGAATATCCAAGATTGGCGTTTAACGTCCAGTGAAAAATACAACATGCATATCAGGATGAGTACAAATTGAGATATGAAAGAATGAACTACTGCTTTGTACTGGACAGACACGCTGACCCGAAGTTTTATCGCCCTCGCTCACAAATTGAGAGTTCGCCGTCCTACGTGGACACATTATTTTGACTCCGAGTCCACCAGTATTTGCTGTTACTTGCAAATGCCGCGTGCTTGGCAGAAAATCAGCAAATACCAATTTTCAAGTCTTTGGTTAGACCCAGCCGGGTATCGAACACACGACCGCCCGCACTCAAGCCAAGCACGCTACCACGAGACCACCGATGCTATTATAAAGAACTACAAGGTGTGCTATTGTTATTATTTTTTTTTCTTCTCCAAAGCAGCTTCGTTAAAAAAAAACTGAAGATTTTTTGTAAATCTTTATACGGAAATTTTATTTTATCATATCAGTTCGAACTAACATTTTCTCTTAACTGTCAGTTTTTCATGAGCAGGATATATGGAGTCATTCGTAGCTTGCTCTGTTATATGGATTTTGCTCATTGCTGAAGACCATACGGTGACTTAAAGCTGCTAACCTCTACGCCATTTGTGTCTCTAGTGGATCGTTGTCTCATTGGCAATCATACCACATTTACTTATATTATATCAAAAGTGCTGTTTTCATTGTGAGTTCATATATACTATAGTTATAGTTTACTTTTACATCCTTCCAAAATTGTCGAGCGGAGTTAATTCATTGCTTTGACATTACCCCCAAAGTAAGTTAATAGTTATGATTTTTACATACGTTTAAAAAAAAGTTTTAAGTTTACAAATTAAGAAATTCGGTTAAAATAAGCCCCAATTTTCTCTCTTCATACAGAGTTGACGTCAGTCGATTTATCTACCCATTTTATATCCTTTTTGTTGAAAAACTTTTGATACTTTAGTTGTCATTTTGGTTCTTTTTTCCTGATGAATGTAATCAAGGAAACATTCAGATCAACGTATGTTTGCTTTTCTATTTTAACGATTGGCTGGACACCACCGCTGATGGCCTGTAAGTTCCCTATGACATCGTACGAACAGTATAAAAATAAGGAGATGTGGTATGATTACCATTGAGACAACTATGCACCAGATTTCAAATAAAGTGGATGTAAGCAGTTATAGGCAACCGTACGGCCTTCAACAATGAGTGAAACTCATACCGTATAGTCGACTATAAAAGGTCCCGACACGAAAAATGTGAAACAATTCAAATGAGATAACTAACGGCCAAAATCACAAAACAATATACGAAAAACAAGTATGACAGACATGAACCAACGACAACCACTGAACTACAGGCTCCTGAATTGAGAACGGCACATAAAGAATGTGGCGGGGTTAAACATGTTCGTGAGCGCTGAAACCTTCCCCTAACTTGGGGCAGTAGTGTAACAGTTTTTTTCTCAAGAACAAACTGTAAAAATCAGTTGCAATTGGCTTAAAAATCAAAAGATCGGTACCAGGCACAAAAACAAGTAGTCTAGTGTCAGGCTCTATACCATTATACTTTGGTTTACAAGAATAAAGATATATATGGCAACAACTATTTTGTCACATTCATTTTTATAGTTGTCATTTGTATTTTTTTACAATAACAAAAGTTCAAAACCGCCAGCTTTACCTCGAATAAATCATTTGGTTATTTAAAACCGCTTTTGGTTTCCCTTCGATATCTTTTTTTTATTCTGGCCTCTTTTAGCGTCTCGAACTTCTGACTCTGATCGTTCCCAGTAATGGTTTATTCCAGAAATTGATTTGAGCAAAGCAAATTCATGACACTTTATTTTCTCTTAACTCTCCATAACTCTCTACCAGAGACAGAATGACGCAGAAGTTAAAAACTATAGGTCAAAATATATATTTATATTACGGTAATATTCATACACTACTGAGTTTACAATCTATAGAAATGTTCCCAACTTTATGAATGAAATATAATTGACTTACTTTTTTGTTCTACGTCGGTACTATATACCTCCATCACTTGTTTTTCTTCTATTTTTTCCATGTCTATAACTGAAAAAGTCAAAAGAGGTTAAGTTATGTGTTAGCATGTCTTATACCAATGAATATTTTATAAAATCGAGCAGAGGTCTTAATGTTGAATAGTCTGACGAGAATAAGACATGTATATGCATTTATTTTTAAAATCTTACAAGAATGATTAAAAAATGAAAGTAACTAGAAACATCTGCAGTGACCACATCTAAGCGTATAAGTAAGCAGAGATGGTTTCTTAGTAATACCTATTTAGGGTGTTTTCATGGGTTCCAATATTAAGTTCGATGTGTTGGACGAATTCAGTCTTAACTAATTTGCATACAAAATTGACTTTTGTCGCCCAATTTTCAAATTAGGTAACAAAAAAAGTCTGTGATACAAAAATGAATTTTGTCATGAAAAAAGTAACTTTTGTCCACTAAAAGATAATTTTGTATGACAAAATTTAAATTTGTAGTATGCTACAAATTTTGTTAAACTGAACTCATTTTTGTTGAACAAAACTCACTTTTGTCCGTACAAAATTGAATTTCGAGTACAAAACCACAAGAGTCCCGTTCGGCGCCCCTACGAGCAGCCTAAATCATCCGATTTTTTTTTACCTGTGAATAAGAATTTTTCACACGCCTACAAATTTAAAAAATCTATGAGAAGCTTAAAATTTCTTATCTAAATGTTAGAAATCAGAGAAATGTTCACAAATATACTTCGAACTTACATTAAATTATATAACCAAATTTTAAAAGAAACAACCGACGGCCTCTTTTAGTTTAATTATATTAAGTTAAATTCACATAAATCGAAAAACAAATAAACGCAGAGCCTTGCGATAATCACTGGACAATAGGATTATGGCTTGGAAAGACGAATTTAGTGGGAGAGGGTGTCAAACATGCTGTCATATATGATGAACACATAATCTTTCAATCAGTTTAATTGAGGTCTGGAGCTGGCATGTCAGTACTGCTAAGTAGTCCTTTGTTAATTTATGTATCATTGTCATTTTGCTTAGTTTCTTTTGTTACCTATTCTGACATCGGACTCGGACTTCTTTTAAACTGAGTTTTACTGTGCGTATCGCTGTGTGTTTATTTATTCTACATTGGCTAGAGGTATAGGGGGAGGGTTGAGATCTCACAAAACATGTTTAACCCCGCCGCATTTTTGTGCCTGTCCCAAGTCAGGCGCCTCTGGCCTTTGTTAGTCTATGTTTGTTAAACATATGTATGTTTTTTAATTTTAGTTCATTTATATGTTTTTGGAGTTTATATATATAGTATGACGTCCATTTTCACTGAACTAGTACACATTTTTATTTAGGGGCCAGCTGAGGACCACCTCCGGGTACGGGATTTTCTCGCTGCGTTGAAGACCCATTTGTGGCCTTCGGCTGTTATCTGCTCTTTGGCCGGGTTGTTGTCTCTTTGACATATTCCTATTTCCATTCTCAAATTTATTGTATACACTAAAAACCCTCACTAACTGATCCAATGGTGTAATTGTGACATAATTCATCAAACCTCATAAGATCGGTACTTAGGGCAATAAAAAGCTAGGGACACTACTCCACGACCTAGAATTACTCGCTGTTTATTCACAAAATATTTTACTAAACTTCAATATCAATCAGTTCATTTTAACTATTTTTTTATCTACCCATAATAGGAATTATACCGTTAGTATCAAAAAGCTGATTGAAATTATATACAATTATCAAATCTTCTTCAGGTTTTTAAAACAAGCACACTAGGCACAATATGCACAATATGCACTTACAAAATACACTGCTTTATTGATTTACAGGTTATAAGTTTAATTTCCATAAACTTAAACCTGATCCCTGAATATTTCGAAAGATATATAATACTCTGGCGTGCACAATCATTTCGCTATGAAGTATCTTTATAATTCTGAGATCATTTTTTAAACACACGTCGATAATTGTCCATACTCATTATAGTGCGGGTGGACTTAAAAGATCAGACAAACAATGTTACATTATAGTGTGCGTGCGGGTGGACCTAAAAGATCAGACAAACAGTGTTACATTATAGTGCGGGTGGACATAAAAGATCAGACAAACAATGTTACATTATAGTGCGGGTGGACCTAAAAGATCAGACAAACAATGTTACATTATAGTGTGCGTGCGGGTGGACCTAAAAGATCAGACAAACAATGCTACATTATAGTGGTGCGGGTGGACCTAAAAGATCAGACAAACAATGTTACATTATAGTGTGCGTGTGGGTGGACATAAAAGATCAGACAAACAATGTTACATTATAGTGTGCGTGCGGGTGGACCTAAAAGATCAGACAAACAATGTTACATTATAGTGTGTGTGCGGGTGGACCTAAAAGATCAGACAAACAATGTTACATTATAGTGTGTGTGCGAGTGGACCTAAAAGATCAGGCAAACAATGTTACATTATAGTGTGCGTGCGGGTGGACCTAAAAGATCAGACAAACGATGTTACATTATAGTGTGCGTGCGGGTGGACATAAAAGATCAGACAAACAATGTTTCATTATAGTGTGCGTGCGGGTGGACCTAAAAGATCAGACAAACAATGTTACATTATAGTGTGCGTGCGGGTGGACCTAAAAGATCAGACAAACAATGTTACATTATAGTGTGTGTGCGGGTGAACCTAAAAGATCAGACAAACAATGTTACATTATAGTGCGGGTGGACCTAAAAGATCAGACAAACAATGTTACATTATAACTGTGTGTGCGAGTGGACCTAAAAGATCAGACACACAATGTTACATTTTAGTGTGCGTGCGGGTGGACCTAAAAAATCAGACAAACAATGTTACATTATAGTGAGCGTGCGGGTGGACCTAAAAGATCAGACAAACAGTGTTACATTATAGTGTGCGTGCGGGTGGACCTAAAAGATCAGACAAACAATGTTACATTATAGTGTGCGTGGACCTAAAAGATCAGACAAACAATGTTACATTATAGTGTGCGTGCGGGTGGACCTAAAAGATCAGACAAACAATGTTACATTATAGTGTGCGTGCGAGTGGACATAAAAGATCAGACAAACAATGTTACATTATAGTGAGCGTGCGGGTGGACCTAAAAGATCAGACAAACAATGTTACATTATAGTGTGCGTGCGAGTGGACCTAAAAGATCAGACAAACAATGTTACATTATAGTGAGCGTGCGGGTGGACCTAAAAGATCAGACAAACAATGTTACATTATAGTGTGTGTGCGAGTGGACCTGAAAGATCAGACAAACAATGTTACATTATAGTGTACGTGGACCTAAAAGATCAGACAAACAATGTTACATTATAGTGTGTGTGCGAGTGGACCTAAAAGATCAGACAAACAATGTTACATTATAGTGTGCGTGAGGGTGGACCTAAAAGATCAGACACACAATGTTACATTATAGTGCGGGTGGACCTAAAAGATCAAACAAACAATGTTACATTATAGTGTGTGTGCGGGTGGACCTAAAAGATCAGACAAACAATGTTACATTATAGTGTGCGTGCGGGTGGACATAAAAGATCAGACAAACAATGTTACATTATAGTGTGCGTGAGGGTGGACCTAAAAGATCAGACAAACAATGTTACATTATAGTGCGGGTGGACCTAAAAGATCAAACAAACAATGTTACATTATAGTGTGTGTGCGGGTGGACCTAAAAGATCAGACAAACAATGTTACATTATAGTGTGCGTGCGGGTGGACCTAAAAGATCAGACAAACAATGTTACATTATAGTGTGTGTGCGGGTGGACCTAAAAGATCAGACAAACAATGTTACATTATAGTGTGCGTGCGGGTGGACCTAAAAGATCAGACAAACAATGTTACATTATAGTGTGTGTGCGGGTGGACCTAAAAGATCAGACAAACAATGTTACATTATAGTGCGGGTGGACCTAAAAGATCAGACAAACAATGTTACATTATAGTGTGCGTGGACCTAAAAGATCAGACAAACAATGTTACATTATAGTGTACGTGGACCTAAAAGATCAGACAAACAATGTTACATTATAGACACTTATTACTGCTTCCACAACTCGGACTCAGACCATCATTACAGGTGGAAAGGATTAGGCGTATGAAGACTGATGTATTTTAGAAGAATTTCTGTATAGAGTATTCTATTCAAGTAAATCATAAATATCGTAATTGAAAGAAAAGAAAAAAAAGAAACATTTACCTCTTTTGTGTTCTATGATTCCAGCCTAAAATGACTATACAAACATCAGTTAATCCTTGTTATTAGCACTTGTGCCGTGACCGTAACATTGACTGCATTTTATATATATTTGAGCTATGTGACCTGTTTAAATTTAAAGCCCAAACTAAAAATGACCAAATATTTGCATATGAATAAAGGGGGTGTGGGGTATACATATTGATCGTTTATTAAGCTGTTATGGCTATAAAAACATCATCTAAAAATTTGCATATCCTATCTATAGAATTGTTTTAAACACTCGTCTGGTCCCTTTGGCGGTACACCAATGTCAGTTGAAATATCAGAAGTAGGAAAGAATAAATCATAAACAGGCAGTAAGAACAGCCATAGAAGTATCTAGGGGACAGCCGAAACATATGATTTTCAAATGGAGAAAGGCCACAGATTAAAATTACATCTTCAAAATTGTCAATTTGCAACTTTTTATCAGTTATATTTTACTATGTTTTGTACTTCGGAATAAAGTACTCTAAATGAATGAATAAATGAATGGTTGAATGAATGAATATAAAAGAAAGAACTAATGGGTTGATTAATTGATAAAAAGCTTATGAAACAAATGATACTTGATACGAAATCTTAAAAATGATGAAGGTGTATACACTTAAAAAACTTTTTTAACTATTACTTGAAAAGATTAACGAAATTGAGACACCAGCATAGTGTTGTTATTTCTTTGTTATTGTAGGATAAATGACCTTTGTTCATCAATGGCATGGCGTGTTGTATAAGGATAATAGGAATACTGAAATACAACTCGGTCAAGTAAACGTATTCAATCTGATCATTTTACAA